AGCAGCCGTTACTCTGGTCATCAGTCTCACACGAAACTTGTAAGAAATCATTCAAATATGCTGATTCGGTGCTCATGAAACATTTCGTAATTAAAGTTAAAACAGTTGTATCAAGGATTTTCAAAAATATGAAGCAGCAAATGTTTCTGGATTTGATGAATAGAAAGTTCAAAAGGACAGCATTTATTTGAAATAGATTTTTTTTTGTAACAATGTAATGTCTCTCCTGACACTATTTATCAATTTAATGCATCCTTGATGAATGAATGTACTTTAAAAAAAATCTTACTGACCTTGCTGAGACTTTTGAATGGTACATTGTTTCACTCATTCTACATCAAAAACAAAGCATTATAGATGCATTAAAGGTACAGCATTTCAGTATCCCAGTCTGATACGTTTGGGTGGATTTAAATATTAAATACCAGGGGTGTGGACTCGAGTCACATGACTCGAGACTTGACTCGGACTCGAGTCCCAAATTTGATGACTTGCGACTCGACTCGACATAATTAAAGAAGACTTGAGACTCGACTTAGACTTTGACAGCAATGACTCGAGACTTGACTTGGACTTGAGCCCTGTGACTCGGAAAGACTTTATGATCAGATCAAAGTTGTTATAGACGTGTCCTTGCAGCGTGCTTGCGCTTGACTGGCAATAAGTCAGAGACTGTGTTCAGGGAGCACTGGATATATAGGCTAGTATAAATTAATGGAGTAATAGCACAATTTATGACAAAAGAACCGAGATTTAAAAAAACAATTTTTTAAAGTACATGATTCGTCTAGTAGCGATCTCCGCTCTTGAAAAGTGCTGCCCTGCCCGTTTCATCGCTGCCCAACAGACACACGGAGTGGGCATGAGAAACTTCACTTTTGATCGCCGCCCAGCAGACACACGGAGCGGGCCTGAGAAACTTCACTGGTGCTCGCCTCATCATCACTGTGACCGCTGCTGTTAAATATTCCTCACTTCTTCTGTTTGTGCACCATGAGTGACTGATCCGCATCCCGCCATGACCCTCGCACTCTGCCAACTCGATGTGCTTTAATTTTCATTTTTATTTGTAATAAACACCTCTCTGAGACCTGTTTTTGTCAGATCGCCACTGTTTTTGTTCGATCAGTTACATATTTTAATTGCAAATTTAAAATATAATTTGAAGAAGTGTTTCTTTCACAAAATGAGTATCGTATATATAACTATAAAGGCTACTCATCTTTTACTCATTGGCTTTGATATAACTCCTAGAAGCATATATTCTTATGCACACATGCAAAGTATGTTACAGCTGTTATTTCTATTAAATGAAGTGGTCTTTGCTATTCTGTTACTAATAAAATAGTTTTTTCACTGCTTGTCCTATTTTGGCACAATCCCTAAACTGAACTTGAGTAGTTTTACTGAGGGCACCCATCTCACATGAAATTGAACTATGTCAAACATATTCTACCTGCCTTCCTGATATAAATTACTATGAATTTGATATGGTAATTAATATTTACCACTACTTAAGACACTAATTTGGGCAAAGAGAACTAATGACTTGTTTAAGACTTGAATCTTAAAGTTGAGGACTTGCAACTCGACTTGGACTTGCCTGTCTTGACTTGGGACTTGTCTGTCTTGACTCGGGACTTGACTCGAGACTTGAATGCAAAGACTCGAGACTTACTTGTGACTTGCAAAACAATGACTTGGTCCCACCTCTGATAAATACAATATAAAACACTACATTTTATATGTTCAAACTCAACAACTTGATTTGGAAATGAGACAAGTCTGAGACGAGCTGTTGTGGTGTCCCATTTTTCCCCGCCTTTCACTTAGACCAGACCTGTTTAGACATGTTTAGTAGACCTGTTTTGAAATATTTCAGAGGATGTAGCTTATCAAGGCTGCTGATTTGTTCTCAACAGGGTCTTTGCCACGCAGTGAGGAGGGAGGCCTGGAAATTTTTGCTCAGCTATTTTCCATGGAACAGCACTCATGAAGAAAGGAAGCTCCTTCAAAAGAGAAAAACGTATGTATGTTTCAATCAGCGTTTGATTTAAAGCTCTCTTCTTATCAGATTAAGCATACATATGATCATGTGTTCATCTATCAACAGTGATGAATACTTCAGAATGAAGCTCCAGTGGAAGTCAGTAAGCGAGGAGCAGGAAAGGAGAAACTCAAGGTTACGAGATTATAGGAGCCTTATTGGTATGTATTTAATTACATCACAAGTTTTATTCTTTAGTTGCTTCAAAAATGTTTTCAAGATATATTTCCATGCACCGTTTCATTACCTGAATGAAGCTCAATTTGTGGTTGTTGAATCTCTTTAGAAAAAGATGTGAACCGAACTGACCGAAATAACAAGTTTTACGAAGGCCTGGACAACCCTGGCTTGATATTACTACATGACATCCTGATGACGTACTGCATGTATGACTTTGATTTAGGCAAGTGACTACACGTGTTTGAATCATCGTTCAGTGCAGCTTCTCTTAATAAAAAACAATCTACTGTTACGTATACTCCCACGCTGATACCTTGTTTTTACCAATCATCCAAAATCCTTTGGATTATGTCAATGTGATTTTAATTGCACATTTAATTATTTAGATTATGGATAATCTTAAGTGCTTTTCAGTGTAGCGTTGCTTTTATTTACCCAGTTTCCTGTTCCTGTGCAGGGTACGTGCAGGGCATGAGTGATCTGCTCTCTCCCATTCTCTTTGTGATGGAGAATGAAGTAGATGCCTTCTGGTGCTTTGTTTCCTTCATGGATGAAATGGTAATGCAGTGTGTTCGTTACAGCACATCTCTCTTTAGCACTCTTGGGTCTGCTATGTATGAGAAGATTTGGCTGATCAATAAAGCATGTTTCTGTCCTCACGCTATTGCTGTTGTGTGCAAGCACATTAAATGGATCTAGTCAACCTACAAATGTTTTACTTGTAGTTGTCTAGGAGAGTTGTCATGTTTGTTACAGCATGAAAACTTTGAAGAGCAGATGCAGGGGATGAAGACCCAACTAATCCAACTCAGCACTTTGCTTCGCTTGCTAGACCTGGCCTTCTGGAACTACCTAGGTAAGATACCCAGAGAAAGACTTATTAGAAATAGACTTTTTCATTAATGTTAATTTCACAGGATTCTGTGACCATAAGTAGCCATTGTGTTTATTTCTGTGTTTATGTGGTTTTACAGAGGCACAGGATTCTGGGTACTTATATTTCTGTTTTCGCTGGTTATTGATCCGATTCAAGAGAGAGCTACAATTTCAGGATGTCCTTCGCCTTTGGGAGGTTGTGTAATAACTATCCGTTGTTGTTTTTTCTTTTGGACCATTTCTCTGTTTCTCAGTACAATGTAGCCATTGTCTGTGATAATTTTGATAATACTTGATTAAGTGTTATATTGGCATTTGATGTAATGTTTTATTAAATTGATATTTTCTCCTTCAGGTCATGTGGACCAGACTGCCTTGCCAAAACTTTCACCTTCTGGTGTGCTGTGCCATTTTAGACTCCGAGAAGCAAAAAATTATGGACAGAAAATATGGATTCAATGAAATCCTAAAGGTTAGCATTAACTGTATCTTACACACTACCATTCAAAGTTTTTGAATTAAAATTTTCAAATTTTGAATTCTTCAATTTAGCAAGGATGCATTGGCATTTAAGAACTTTTATAATGTTACAAAATATATCTAAATCAGAAATTTCTCATTTAAACTTTCTATACATAAAAAAATCCTAAATATATATATATATATATATAAGAAATGAGAAATGTTGCTTGAGCAGCAAATCAGCATATTAGAATGATTTCTGAAGGATCATGTGACACTGGATTAAAGACTGAGGAAAATACAGCTTTGCCATCACAGAACTAAACTACATTTTAAAATATATTCAAATGGAAAACTTTTTTAAAAATGTAATAATTGTTAACAGTATTACGGTTTTCTGTATTTTTAATCAAATGCAACCTTGTTGAGCATTAGAGACGTCCATGAAAAAAAAAAACATTATAAAAAAATTATAATGACCCCAAATTTTTGAACTGTATTGTGTGTATCTACATTTTATAATATGCATAAATTAGCATGTAGAGAAATTGTTCACCTATTATGTTTTCTTTACAGCATATAAATGAACTCTCCATGAAACTGGACATCGAAGAAATCCTTAGCAAATCTGAAGCTATCTGCATGCAAATAAAGAATTGTAAGGTATGTCCTAAGCATGATTGCAAATAGTGGGGTATGTGATCTATAACACATTTTTTTCAGTAATATGTGTTTTTCTTATCCCATTAATACAAGTTTTTGAATCTCTTCTGATTCTCTCTAAGGACTTGCCCCATTCAGTGAGTGAGATTCTGGGTCTCAACACAGTCACTGAACCCTCAGCAGCTTTAGAAACCAGTGAATATGGAATTCTTGAGTCACCTCAGACCTCACCAAGATCCACAAACAGACAAGATCACGTCGTCTCAAACGGCCACAGCCACTTAAAAGAAACGACACACAACGGCTGCAAAGTAGCCTTCATTTCCTAGTGTACAGCACTACAAGATTTATAGTACAGATTTTATAGCCCCTGTATTGCAGCAAGATGAACAGTAATGGGTGTCATGTAGATATTTGCTACCAAATGCCACATTGTAAAATATCCCAGAGAAAATATATGAATGTAAAACTAGGATCCAAAAGGATCCCTAAAGCATTATTTTTATAATATCTTGTACCATATTGTCTTTCATTGAAATATTCATTCCTTCTCACTGTATGAGTTTTCATAATGATTCAGAGGTGGGGTATCCATTGTTGAATATTATTATATATATTTTTTTGTTCTTATCAGTTTGCCCTTTTCCTAAATAATTCAGATTCAAATTAAAATCTGTCTTCCTTCCATTAGATTGTGAGTTATATTTATATTATGCTTTCTGTTTTTTGTTTTTTTTTGATCCAATGAAATAAGCCATTTTGTATTATGCATTACATTAATTAGTTACGAGTACTTTATAATTAGTTGGTCACCTTAGAGAAAAGACCCTCAAAAACAAAACAATTTAACCATCATTTTGAGAGTGAAGGAGAACATTTGCTTGGCCATTTGAACCAAAATCACTAGTTCCAACTGGCATATAAATGTGGTTTGAGATTCAAAGTCTGTAGTCTTCGTTCAGTCGGCCCGCTATGACATTTGCAAATGAGATGGAGAGCGTGAAAACACTGAGGATGAAATGTCTTTTATCCACTCGTAACCACAGCCCACAACAAAGACACCCCGAATCGACTTCCATCTCTTTCATTTCCTGTTCCACAGGAAATTGCCTCAGAGGAAGCTGATAGCTCACTGCTCACAGCAGTAATGTAATCTCTCTTCTAGCTCCCTTTCATTAAAGAAACGGCAGCATTTTGTGCACTGACAAACATGCACTCATTCACCAAAACCCCTGAACAAAATGCATCTGTGGTCAAAAGGCAGTTTCCACAATTGCCCTCAACCCATTTTGCTTACAATGATGTTTACGTAAATGATGCTGGCATTTAAATTCATATTTTAAGAAAATTAAGGTTTTAATCTATCTACATTTTTCTTGGTTTCTATATTGAACATGTTTCTGGGTGATAAACTGCAAAGGCCTATATATCTTACAAAAATGATGGGTGCTGTTTGCTGTTATCTCCCTCTCTTCCACTAGCTGGAAAATGAAGCCTCATTTTTGAAAATCTTGAAATCTGAATTATTTTGCTCTAGATTAATTTCTCCTAGAAGGTGAGATGAGCTTATCCACTTCAATCAGGGCTTGGACGTGTCGACATTTCCTAATGGAGCAGCCATCCCCTCAAAAGCTAATATGAGTGATCGCCTGCCCTGTGAGACAGTGGCCCTTCTTAACGTCATTCGTCACACTATATAATCCCAGCTCTGATACTGCCGGGGGAGGAGTGTCAGGTACTGTGTCACATGCGAGGAGCTCCCAGTGGTCTCTGAAGGGGCAGCTTAAGGAGATATCGTCTGAGACAACAGCACCTTCGCCATATGAAATGCAGGGAAAGAAGACATCTCAAGAGACAGCAGCTATGTCCTCTGAACTACAAACTAATCCGAAGGGGCCCCAGACAGCCCCTAAATCACCTGTTGGGCTTCTTAGGAAGAGAGGTCAAGAAGCAATTCCAAAGATGCAACCCGCTATGATGATGTTCTCCAGCAAATACTGGGCTCGGCGAGGTCTATCTTTTGATTCAGCAATGTATGACCAACAACACCTTGCAGCCTCAATGGTGAGTACTGAATAGTTTTGATGGACCCTCTTTTGGGCGCCACATTCCATATAGCCAAATTGCCTTGATATGCAAATTTTTGGAATATGGAACATTTACCCTGGATAATTTAATTAGTGGCAGTTAGTGAAATCTAATGAAATGTTTAATTACAAAATTCTATAATATACTGACTGAAAGCCTTGACAGCTGGAGCTGGGCACAGTTATGTAATACAATATTTTGACATTATAAAAAAAAACATCTCTCAGTATAAGTTATCCTTTTGAGGTTGTTAATTACCACCCTTGCATGCTTAACGCTTGTAAATAAACATTTTAAATTACTTTTTAAAAGAAATAAGCTTTTATCTGAACCCATTTGTCCATCTTAAGAGTTTTATATTCACTAAGCAACACCTCCACACAGCTCCGCAGGACATCCTTTAATCGGATAGATGAAAGACCTGACAAAGAAGAACCAAAATCCACTCATGACCTTGGGAAATTAGCAGTGATTTTCTCTCTGAAGAATGAAGTGGGCTGTCTGGTGAAAGCGCTGAGGCTCTTTCAGGTTAATGAGCATCTCATCTTCTGGTGGGGTAGATTAATAGTACATTTTAATAAGTATATCTAATGCATAGTACTTATTTAATAATCATTTTGATAGGCTTTTGATTGAAACCAACGTGACATCTTGCCGTTGTATGTTTAAAGGAGAAGCATGTGAATTTGTCCCACATTGAGTCTCGGAGATCCAAGAGAGTCACCAATGAGGTGGAGATTTATGCAGAGTGCAACTGCTCAAAGAAAGAGTTCAATGAGTTGGTGCAGCACCTGAAAGACCACGTCAACATTGTGTCATATAACACACCTCAACACGTGTGGTCTGCAGAGACCGGTAAGCCTGAACTTAGAATAGCCATTGTAATTATGCTCTGGCTTTGTAACAATGTTACTGATTCATCTGATGTATTTATTCCAGACTGTTTGGACTGTGTGTGCGTTTTGGGTGGGTTGCCAGATGGGGAAGGAATACCATGGTTTCCCCATAAGATCTCAGAGCTGGACCAATGCTCTCATCGAGTGCTAATGTACGGCTCAGAACTGGATGCTGACCATCCAGTAAGTAAATCTGTTTAGTAAATTTAGCAAGTAGCTCAATGGTGGAGTGAATGAAACCTCGTCCCAATGACAAACAATATACTCTGTTTACTCTTGATTTTGTAATAAGGTTCTATACACTAATATTCAGTAATGCAATAGCTAACATAAAACAGTACATTTATAAATTTACACTAACCTACAAATTCTGTAAAAATTGTTCATGATGCCCTGGTTAAAAATTAAAACTTATTGTAAAGTGATTCTTTGTTCTTTGTTGCAGGGCTTTAAAGACAAAGTGTATCGGGAAAGGAGGAAGTACTTTGTTGAGGTTGCAATGAACTACAAATTGTTAGTATGGATTATAATATAGTTTATATTCTTGTGTAGTTGATTTTGGGTTTTTGTAGCTCAATTGTTAACTAGTTGAAAATGCTAAAATAGGTAAAAGCAGATGCATAATAGTTACATAAATGGAAACAATATGAAAATCAAGTTGTTGCTTTTTTTTCAAGTTGTAGAGTGTTTTTTTTGCATTTCTTGCGTAATATTAATCAGAATATCTTTTTTTTCTCTTTTCAGTGGGCAGCCCATCCCACAGATAGAGTACACACCAGAAGAAGTGAAGACATGGGGAGTAATTTTCAGAGAACTTACAAAACTCTATCCAACTCATGCCTGCCGCGAGTACTTAAAAAACCTCCCTCTTCTCACAAAGCATTGTGGGTACAGAGAGGACAACATCCCACAGCTGGAAGATGTGTCTCGATTCTTACGAGGTAAAAAATGTCACATCAAGTCACATCCACGCAATTCTACTTGCATTATTAATTGCATTCATTCAATTCAAACGTCTACACTATTTAATCTGGAGGTTTTGATTGTGAACCTTGCAGAGAGGTCAGGGTTTACCGTACGACCTGTGGCTGGATATCTGTCACCACGAGACTTCCTGGCCGGTCTGGCTTATCGAGTGTTTAATTGCACTCAGTATATACGTCACAGCACTGATCCTCTATACACACCAGAACCGTGAGTATAAACCAACACCAATGATTTTTATGTAGAAAACAATTTTTCTTCATCACCTCTAACCTGTAAACTGTTTTTATGTCCTCAGGGACACCTGCCATGAACTGCTGGGTCATGTACCGCTCCTAGCCGATCCCAAGTTTGCTCAGTTTTCTCAAGAGATTGGCCTTGCATCTCTAGGCGCTTCAGATGAGGATGTGCAGAAGCTGGCAACAGTAAGTGTGACAGCAGCTTATTGAATTCTTAAATGTCATCTCAAACTTGACTGGCAGTCAGTATTGAAATAAAAAGGTCACTGAAGTTTTTCATGGCATAAAGTTTGATCTATGGTGTCGAGTCACATGCATTTGCATTGAAATCAGATCACTGGCTCTGTCTGGCAGACTTCAGTGAGAGACAATTAGATATTGGTATAAGGTTTTTGGTGGTCTCAATATGAGTGGGTATATCTCATAAGGGCCTGAAGAAACTTCTTGTAGATAATCTTGCTTCTAAGCCTTTGCAATATATGCAATAAACCACTATGCTTTTTTTCCAGTGCTATTTTTTCACAATTGAATTTGGACTTTGCAAACAAGATGGCCAGTTGAGAGCCTATGGAGCAGGTCTTCTGTCTTCTATTGGAGAGTTGAGAGTATGAAGCCCTTTGTTAACTATATGTAAGCACCTCATGTATTAAAATGCCAAGTTTTTAAGTGAATGAATAATCTTCTTTGATTATGCAGCATGCGTTGTCTGACAAAGCAACAGTGAAGATGTTTGATCCCAAAACCACATGCTACCAGGAGTGCCTCATTACAACATTTCAAGATGTTTATTTTGTCTCTGAGAGTTTTGAAGAGGCAAAAGAGAAAATGAGGTAAATATGTCCATTCAGTCAAATGTAAAATTGGACCGTAATCCACAATTCGACTTAATAATGTCAATTAATGTTGTTCCTTCTAAACAGGGAATTTGCTAAAACAATAAAAAGGCCTTTTTCTGTCTACTACAACCCATACACCCAGAGCATCGATTTATTGAAGGACACCAGGAGCATTGAGAACGTGGTTCAAGATCTACGCAGTGACCTAACCACTGTCTGTGACGCCCTGGGAAAAATGAACACGTACCTCGGTATCTAGCTAATCAAAATCATCAGTGCTTTATTGTAGAATAAAACTGCAACTGTTTTACATGATTCAATTCAAATTTCATTAATACTGTAACATCTGCAGTGATGTTGATTATCTGGGCCAAATGTCCATTAGTCTTGCCTTGTTATGAGGATGTATGCCACACAAATTAAGGTGTGAAAGATTGCAACCATAGTCATCACATGGCATTCAAAAATGCAGTCATCATTACAATGTATTAAAGTGATATTGATGAAATATTGATATTATTAGGAACAACAAATAAAGGAACAAAAAAGCAAAAGAAAGGATTTAGTATCTATGTAGTCTTTGCCTCTTTGTGCCTAATGTTGTGCGTAAGACTCATAGCAAGTGAAGGCAGTTGATATGTACAATTACAGATGATAAAAAAAAAAAATTAGCCTACATGTAGAAATCACTAGGCGCTATTCTGATTCCAGTGGCATTCTCTATTTGTAAAGAGTATGTTTGTGTTGCTTATTTGTTGCTGAAAAGCCAACTTCCCATTCAATAAAGCATTATATTTTAGCATTATATTTTGGCCTGTTTTTTTTTTTTAAGTGTGCAGCAATGAGTTAAGAACACATTTCATTAGTAACACAAAATGTTATTTTATATTAAATGTATATAAACAAGTACATATTTATAAAAAAGTATAGTATATTAAGTAGTATATTAGTATATAAGTATATTATAGTAGATAATATCTTTATTTCATAAATATCACTTTGATCACTAATAACCATCCATTTCACAGTCTTGTCAATGGACCTCTTCACCATCATCGTCATAAAAGGCTTTCTCCTATAGTGTGTCAGAGATGACATATAATTAGTGTGTTGAGCATTATTGTAATTATTTTATTCAGTAAACTGCATTAATTTCTAGTAAATGTATTTATTTGAAGCAGTTTTTTTTTTTTTTACTAAATTTAACTGGTGCATAAACTCTCACCCAACCACCATGCTGTTTAACCCAGGGAGCGAAGTTCTCCTGCAGGTACTGAGCTCCGTATCCCATGACCCTGTTCATGGGGTGTAGGTCCAGGGCTTTGAGTCTGCTGGTGACCTCAAAGGCCAGGGCGATCTGCTCACGTTTTTTTCTGCTCTGCAGAAATTCTGGTACACTACTCGTGATGAAGGCTTTAGTCAGTGTTTTAAACAAGTCGTAAGAGAAAGTTTGCTGCAGGTATCCTAAAAGCTCTTGGTTGCTCTGAATCTGAGAAGGCAGAGGGGACATTTAAGAGCAGGAAAAGCTTTTAGGACTACAAACTGAACAGCTTTTTTTAACGCTTTGATGTGACTCAAATGAGAGTTATAGTATTTTATAATTGATTTTCATAATCGTGTGACTCTTTAATGAGAATTATAGTATTTTATAATTGATATTCATAATATTTTATCGCATATTTTCCACAGGAAGCCCTACATACATTTGGTTTGTTTCCACCAAGTTCCAGATATCAAAATACGTACATTTGTATTTAATTGAAGAGGATTATCTAGAACTACACACTAAACCAAAACTAATCAGTTAGTAACACTACAGACTGTAAAGAGGTCATGATGATTACCGTTTCATTCAATTCGTCCCCTGATGTCTTCAGCAAGTCAACAAGCCTCACTATGACATCTGAGTTAGCCTCTTTCGCAACTAGGACAGACCAGAATTACAATCTGTATAATCAATAGTGTTATAGAGGATAATATTTCAATGACTTTAACTAATTATCAGTTGCATAAACTGTTTAGACTAGTCTTAAAAAGTTACTCACCTAATTTGTTTTCTTCAAGACTGGTCATAACTTTTTTAATTCAGTTATGAAAAGGTAGATTGTTCTTATTTGTATTGGAAAAGTAAGACTGATTACCCCTTGGCAACTGCTAGTTGGTCAAACTAGTTCTTAAGACACAGTCTTAACATGGTGGCTAAGTTTATGCAACTGGTGATTGTGTTGTATATAACAGACAGTACACTTTACCAGGACTGTCTGGCTCTAGTCCTTCATCAAAAAGAAGTCCGTTGTCTGCAATCTGGGCCAGTTTTTCAGCCACATCACCAAATTTCTCATCACCTGTTTTCAACAGACATGACATTAAAATGAGAATAAATGTTATAATAATCTCAGAAAGAGTCACAGATCTCAAATACAGTATCTCTCTGGTCTGATCTGATCGTGCCCTCTCCAGTCTGTACATACAGGCGCTTGCGCTTGGCTTCCTCCTCTTCTGGCAGTATGTTTCAAGCAATCGATATTCATCACTACAAGTTATTAAAAGTGAGTCACCCTCCATCATGTGAAACAACCACTGGCTTCTGCCTATCAGATAAAGAAACAGGACATTTTACTTCTTATGTTACATGTCACATCCGTAAAAAACGTAATCAAATCAAATCAAAACGAATGATGTGAACTTATTAACAGTTAATATCTAAAAAGACTTTAACCGCACTGTATCAGTTTTTAAACTGAAAAGAGTTATGAAGCAAACGTTACAGTTTAAACTTTTCTCGACGTCACGGATCATGTCTAACGTTAGTTCCTCTGACCGCAAATTTCAGTGCAAAACGCACATTTCATGGTTCCAATTCTTTAATCGGACCACATAGTCTATTGAACTAATGTAAAAGCAATGTGATCTCTTATTAACGTAACCGAAAATAAACAACAAAACTTACCAGGAAATCGGGTGAAGTTTTCCTGAGAGTTGGAGACAGTCAGTATACTTGCGACGTATGTATTACGTGCACGGAAGTTGTACGTACAGCTGTCACTGCTGCTTTCATTTTCTTTTCGAATCGTCTTTCACATTGTTTATGTTAATATGCATGTTCATTTTTTTCTTTTATTCCATGGATTTTACCCATTTACCTCCACTTGTTCCCAGTGTTTTTCTGCAACCACTATGCGCGCGCAGCTGCAAGTTACGTAACTGTGACGTCTACTCTAAATTGGTCTATAAGCTAAATGATTATGACGCCTCAGCTAGCCAATGTTAATAAACATATTTTTGTAGGCCTATTGTTATATATGGTAGAATAAAAATGCATCTACTAACAAACTTTACTACTAACACAAATGATAAAGTAGACTATGAGTACAAATAAGTTACCTATACCTTTCTTTGCGGTTTGTCTGCAAAACCAAAAGTACAGTAAGAACCAGGTAAACATAATCTGCATCTTAGTTACTAAATTCATTTCACAGTTTATATCAGTAAAAAGTTGAGTACACTGGCAAAAGACCGTATTTAAAAATTAAAGAATGATTGTATGATAAAGAATAATTCAATTAATTTAAAGAATGTAGTTATGAATATTAGTAACGGAGGCCAGCGAGTAGGAGCTGTGCAGCTAAACCTCACTCCCCTGATTTTATGAGGCATTCTAGCAGCCTTTAGCCTTCTTGTTAGTGTGCCCGCCTCCTACGCCGGAGACCCGAGTTCGAGACCCACTCGGAGCAGGTGAGTGAGACCTGTAACATATTGTTGTCTTGGTGTGTCTTTTTATTTTACACCTTTAACCCTATGAATATTAAGATAGGGTAAGGATAGTCAAATCTGGCCTAAACCATAAGTGCTCAACCGCCCGCAAGTTAAAGCTCTTCAGGAATGACGTAGAAGACTCCCTTGTGCTTATTTATTGAGACTTATTTTATTTGTTACAATATAAAGCAGTTAATGAAAAAAATAAAACTTCAGCTAAACTATAATCAAACTCTAATCAGCAGTATTGGTGACAGGGTTTCAGATATCCTTTACGCTTAATTCAAGAAGCATCTAAAGAGTACTTTACTCCTCAGTCTCTTTATATTTCTTTTTGGGCAATTTCACTTGTATCTCATTCATCAACTCATCTCCTGTATGATCCAATCTTTCAGTTGTATGAGTATCAGTCTCTGTAAATCATGTCTAATTCACCGGATGTCCTTCCGCTGTTGCCTACGCTCTTGTCTTCTTCTCACAATTTTTCACTTCTTCATAGTCTTAATCAGTCTTACCTCCGCTTGTGGTTTTAACACCTCTTCTCCCCCATGTGCGCTCTTGTTAACCTTTGTGGTTATTTGCGAACATTTCATGAAGTTCATGAATTTACTTTTCACACCGTTTGCTCATTTAATCCTGTTCTACATTCTAAACAAGTCAAGTACATTTGTGTACTCTACATCAATATAATTTTGAGTATTTATATATTCAAGCATATATGCATTAACTTAAAAGCAAGCAGTGTTGGGGGTAATGCACTACAAGTAACATGAGTTATGTAATCAGATTACTTTTTTCAAGTAACTAGTAAAGTGACGCATTACTTTTAAATTGAAAATGAAATATCTGAGTTACTTTTTCTAATAAGTAACGCATGTTAGCTATTTTGTTTTCCCATTTATTCACTGACTTCTCTCCTGTCCCTGTGTTGAGAGAAATTGGGAGTGATTGGTGTGAAAGGGCCAAAAATATAACCTTTGAGGTTTTTGTTATTAAAAAACAAATAAGCAAGCCCAGTAATGCAATTAGTTACTTTTTATGGAGTAACAATATTGCAATGTATCACTTTTAAAAGTAACTTCCCCAACATTGAAAGCAAGCAAAATATCAACCAAAACAATATTATGCATACTTTTCAATGTAATAATCTAGCAGAAGTGTTTTTATATGTAATTTTTCAGATAAATAAGCCATAATAGAAACTTCACTTTGGATACTGTAGGTCTTAAGTCGTTGTTTGCTCTTTTTCAGCATTCTTCTTACAGCAGGCTAGTTGTTTTGCGCGTGACATGTAAAACACAGGCCCAATACAGGTCCCAAGACTGGGAAAGGTATGCATCAGATTCAAGATTAAACAGAGTGTGTGACTGATTTCTTCATCCCCATCCTTAAGTGTGAACATGTAAGGGGCGATAGCCAGGAGAGGTCCATAGATAACAGCTGAAGGGATCAGAATCAGCAAAGTGTTATTTAGCGCTCTGTTTTTTACAGATGACCCACCTCTTCCACCAGTTTGCCCTTCACCCGGACCTTTTTTGCGGAGTACTTGCACAATGCCTGTTAGACACGCCAGCATTATGAGTAAGAAAGCATCAAGGGTGATTGACAAGTACATAGCTAATTTAGGGAGCCTTTCTTGGTAGGTAATCATTGCAACGCCTAAAGTGACAATCCAAATTAGAGCCAAGCAGACAACACGATACTCCCATTTATTCCCTAGTTTCATGTAGAGGACTGGATGTGCTACGGCCAGGTAGCGCTCTACACACATACTGGTCAAGAGAAGAGGACAGCCGATCAGGTTGAGGATTGAAATGGCCTCTGAAACAGTCAAGAGCTGTCCAGAGTGTTCAGTCATAGAAATGTACATATTAAAAGGAAGACTGATACAGAAGATGATGTTCAGCACGGCAAGATTAAGCCCCAAAACTTCAGAGGGTGATAGACCTTTCTCGCCCCTCACTAGCATCCATAGCATAGCCACATTAGTTGGGAAGCCCACCACAAAAGTTACAATTTCTAGTGGCAAGCGAACATAGGAATAATTGTCATCATTGCACTTATCCACAATGGTAAGAAATAACAGATGCATATCGCTTGTAGCATCGCTTGTATAGTTGCTTACATTTGATGTCATGTTTGCCATGTTGACTGAGCACTGTA